AAGTGAGCATAGCAGAAGAATGTAATTTCCATTGGTTTATTGTTTATTTTTTTGGGCCTAGGATTTATGCTCACTTTACAAACAAGCACATGTTCTATTAAATATAATTATTGTTCATCTTTACCAAAAAAAATATATATGTAATTATTGTTCACCGAGAGTTATTCATATATAGAATCTGGATAGATAGGATACTATTATGTATTAATAATTATTATTAATGATAATAAATAGATCGATAAGATATTATTAATTGTCAATGACAATGATAATAACGTAAAAAGTTCACAACTAAGGCTTGAAGATATAGAATTAAAGCTCACAATATTTAAATTTAAATATATAACTAGACAGTTTCTTGTGCATTGTATGAGTTAGAATTAAAAAATTTAAAATAAATATTATCCATACAATTAATATCGACACATTTGAGATGGTCAAATTTTAAGAGTTTCTCTATTTAATCATTTTTTTTTCTTGGATATTTTATTTGTACACATTTTTTCTTTGGCTAAATTTAAAATTTATTGCCAATATTTTAAATTATTAAACATTTTTAATATAAAATATAAATATTAAAAGGTCAGAAGGAAGAAAAGGATTTGTGCCTAAAATGCATAAGAAGGCACACTCTTATCTTCCTCACTAAGAAGGAAAGAGATATAATTTTCTTATGTATGTACTTATATATGTATGGTTAAGAATTGAATATGTATTGTCTGCTTAATCATTTCTCCTCAGTTATTTGATGTGAAAAGATGAAGAGTCATCGTGTTGTCTTGTCAGTGTGAAATTTATGGTAAAATATTGCACAGTTTGAAGAGCCAAGATCACGAGAAAAGGGTTAATGGTCCAAATCAAACTTAAAACTTTTATTTATTTATTTTTTCCTTTTTAAATAATGTTTATGAATGATAGTTGATGAGAGTTGATTGATATTGAATACACGAAACCGGAAAATACATAGAATATTGGAAAATAAACTAAATGCCATTAATCAAGAAAATTGAAAAGGCAGGGTAAAGTATAGCAAATGCAAAAGGATAGTTGGATGGAGTTAATACTAACAATCAGGAAAAATTTAAAAATGGGATTGTTCTTGAATCAATACTCCTATCAAAGTAGATTGAAAATACATGAAATATAGAAAAATAAATTAAATCTCATTAATCAAAAAATTGAAAAGGCATAAGAAAGTATAGAGAATGAAAAAAAATAGTTGGATGGAATTAATACTAACAAGAAGGGAAATTTAAAAATGAGAATGCTCTTAAATCAATACTTCCGTAAAAGTAGACTAAAAATACATGAAAAATAAAAAAATAAATTAAATATCATCAATGAGTCAGGAAAAATTTTCATATTAACATTAACTTAAAATTTACTAACCAATGATAATCAATTTTTTTAACCAATTGGATTGAAGTAACGAGATTTGAATTCTTCAGGAAGTATGAGGATGAAACTGACATTCTCTCCCTAACATTAGCCAAAAAAAGGCGCGAAACTCCTCCACCCTAGTCACCCAACTCTCTACCGTCGACAATAGACTTAATTAGAGAATGGCTAATCAATCATCAATTAGGGCATATAAGATTGAAAGACACAAAGATATTCCTGTATTGGGAAAAAAAACTCCATAGTAGGACTTGAGAACATGAGAAACAACATAGTTAATACTTCCATAATAGATGACACAAAAAAAATTTAAAATAGAATTTAATGCTCCTGTTCTGTAAAAAGATAAAAATTAATTAAAATAAATGAAAAATAAATTTAATTTTGTCAACTAATTAAAAAATATTCAATCATATCAACCAATAAATAGTGATATTAATATTAGATTAAAATTAAATTGATTGTACAAAATTAATGGACCAATGCGATAGAATAATTAATATTTTACTAATGTATGCTGATAAATGAGAGAGAAAAATTTGTGATCAATTACTTCCATTTTACAAAATTTATAAATAGATATTGATAATAGAAATACATTGCCCGTCAGCCCCAAAGGCCTCGCCCCATTATTGAATACGGTTAATATAAAGCAACTTCTCATATAAAAAACAAATAGAAGCAAAAACAACGAAAATACTAAATGGGACAAATATTTGTAATTATTGATTGATGTAGGATGATAATATAAAGATAAATTTTTAAGTAGATTAAGTACACCACATCATTTACAATCTATCTAATTAAAATATTTTAAATTATCTAAATAAATATTATATGATACTCCTACCAAAAAAATATATTATGTGGTACTATTTTAATTATTTTATTCTTATAATAAAATGTATATTTAATTTTTTACCTTTTTATCTTAATGTTATTATTAATATTAAAATTAATTTATATTAAATGTTATTTAAATATTATGTTTTTTATTGAATAAACACGCGGTGCAAAGGTTTGGTAAGAATTTCGCTAATGTGAATTAAAAGATTATACAATGATTGTTGTCTAATAATGCAAGGCATCCCTTCTTTAACAGTGATGGGGGAGTGGAGGTAACCTCAAGAGTCAACATGCCACGAATTCCCAGAAAAGCATCCACTGGAAGAGCGCCCTTTACTTCCCTTTCCGTCTCCTTGCCTCCAGAGTCGTGATATTCCCTCGCTATTCCTCTTCTTTCACTTTCTACTTACTCCTCTTATGCCCTCTCCTTGCTCCCAGCTCCTCTCCATCATCTTTCGCCATGTCAAACGTAAGTCCTCATTACCACCCCTCCTTGCTTTTTCAATTCCTTTTTCTTTTCTCGTGATGTTACTCAAAACTTTTACTTTGTGTCCATTGCAAGATGGTGGAGGTCAAAGTCGGTTTACACTGTGACGACTGTATCAAGAAAATCCTCAAAGCCATCAAGAAGATCCAAGGTACGTCCTGGTCCATCCTAGTTCCCCAGGATCTGAATCTAAATCGATCATCTTTAAATGGCTTCTTCATGGCTCCTTTTTTGGTGGTTATAATAATTCAATTCTTGGCTTGACAGATATTGAGACCTATAACGTAGACACGCAGCTGAACAAGGTCACCGTTACGGGAAACGTCACAACGGAACAAGTCATTAGAGTTCTTAAGAAGATTGGAAAGAACGCCACCGCCTGGGACCAATCATCCACAAATTGATTGCTGAACTACCGACTGAATTCTATTACAAACGACTCTGCCCTCCGGGCACTCGGTGTTTTCTATAATTTTCTTTTTTCTTTGCCTGCTCTCTGCTCTCTTCATTTCGGGGCGACATTAACAATACATGCAGTGAAAAATTATGTAGTAGGCACCAGTGTCTTTGAAGAGATTTTTAGATGCACATGGACATAGTCCTGCAATTTTTAAGCTTCTTCAGCAGAGTACCATAATATAATCTAATAATTTTCAATTTTCACCACAATAGAAGGGAAGTTAAGTTCAAGAGAGTTTTTTTTTTTGGGGGGGGGGGGGTTGGGAGAAGAGGGGCGTTGTGCCGACGATGAGCGCTTGATAGATGAGAGGACCACGATGGAGTTTTGTCATTTTATTGAATGCTAAATTCAATTGGGAAAGCAAAGCCAAAATGAGAGGGTCTCTGTACAGATAGGGTTGAGAACAAGGGATGCGAGAAAGAAGAGGCTACCTCGGCTGCTGGATAGTCCTCGGACACATGGCCCTCGTCTTCACAACCTTTTGAGCAAACCTCGGTAGTTCTGCCCAACCTGAATCTCTTGGCTATTTCAACGGCCCCATCGTGACCAATTCCCTATCATAAATCCTCCACTCCACAGTACGAAACGACATTGGGACGAACAGGGGGGCGTCTGGATTGAGGGGGAACGATGTTGTTGCGGGAGCCATGGCTGCTTTGCTTTTGGGAAAGATAAAGGTCATGCTTATCCCCCACGGAAAGCGACCATTTATATATGCAGGCATGAACTCAACCGAAGGCCGAAGGGACTCGGACTTGTTTTTTATTGCCCAGACGTCAAACCCCTCCGGATTTCTTTTTTTACCCAAATGCCAAAACCCCACCGGACTGAATCCCCACTGCCCACTGTTTTGGGATTAGCCCCTTGGTGCTGATCGCCTCACTCAACAAATTTGATTTCTTTCTGTCAACTAAAATTAGCCTGAGTGATTAGTGTGTGTTTGGTCTAGCAGAAATTCTTTCATACATGATGGTATGGTTTGAATTCCTATTAATAAAGATGCCCCCTACTTAGCAGCGTCATGAACATTGCTTTCAATAGGTTGATGCGGGTGGGGAAAAAATAAAAATAAAAACTTGAGTGGAAGATGTTTCTGTCACTTAAATAAATGGTTGAAAATTCGAATGTTAACCTTTACATGTATAATAATTTAGTTGGCAGATTCTTTCATCAGAATTTACTCATTATGATTATAAAAAATTTGATTTCCGTACAAATATTTTGCCGGTATTAGGTGATTAAGCTTGTTGGGTATATGCCACTACCTGCGTCAGGAGCAACTATGACTGTTGATCCTCATCCATGGCCCATGCAGCGAGTCTACACGTCAGATTCATTTCCTTCTCATCCTCGCCCCCAGCCCCCAGCATGCTCGGAATCCGATGGTTGCATTCTCCGGAGGAACCATTTCATTTCATGGCTTTTAACTTTTAAAGCTATATTTGATTAATATGTATAATCGATTTCTCATCGATTTCTCAATTTATTTTTCAAAATTGATTACCGTTACTTTATATTTTCATTTGCAAAATAAATTATAAATTTATGTTAACTTATTATTATTTTTTTACTATCATATTCATTTTTTGTTTTCATGCAGTTTTTTTTTTTCTTGTTAAGATTTTCATGCGGTTCTTCAAGCAACAATATATATACATGCATGTGAGAGAGAGAGAGAGAGAGAGAGAGAGAGAGTGAGTGAGTGAGTGAGTGAGTGAGTTTTGAAATTCAATGACTAAAATTTTCAGTGCTGCCAACTGCCATGCTTGTACCAATTACCACCACCACTTCGGAAGTTGCTTCAGGCCCTTTGAAGATGTTTAATCAGATCGCTTTTATATTGTATTCTCAATAACATGCATGAAACCAGAGTACAAAGTACTGTCATCGCAAAGGACACATTACTCGAATCCGCAGACATTAGCAAGTATTCTCGAGTCTAATGCAAAAAATCTCTCACCAACAAGCCCATATACCCTCCCAACCCTGGTTTGGCGCAGCGTTCAAAAATTCAAAAATAAACGAACCTACTCCCACATCTCAGCTTTCTGTCTATGGAAAGCCGCAAGACTGACTAATCGTCATCAATACTTCAACAGGGAGCGGCTAGCTCACTTGATATCATGGAATGCCGGCAAGACAGCAACGAGGGGGTCTCCATAACCAACCGCCTCTATCATAAACAGCAAAAACAACGAGCAATGTATCGGTGATATGTATCTTCCAAAACTCGTCCACCATCAAATTGAAGTCGGAGTGCAATAAAAAATGTCAAGCGTCGATTATGGTAACGTCTATCATTGCTTAATAGGCTTCAAACTCATAATATATATCACCTTAGCAACGTGAAACCCTACCTACTCTGGATACCATACATATCTCAGATAATGTATTATCTTGCATACTAACGGATAATGGCAGATTTACCAATGTCCTAAAGATGGTGAGAATTATTGTCGGTGGTGCTAGATAAAGAAACTAGACGGCAATAATTTATTGCGAAGCATGCTAATGCATTCTCTATTTTGAGTATGATTGAATGGCACAGAGAAAGTCATAGAAATTATACCTCCATCCTCATAGAGTAGCTTCAATACTTCTCCGGCCACATCAGACTGCAAAAATTCAAAAATAAAATCACCAATCGGAGCTAGATATTTCAAAGAATCCCCAGTCAACAAGTGAGACAGATTACCTTGACAGGAAGTTCAGTGCCAAATTGATCCAAATAGCCTATGACTTGTCCTTCTTTGATTACATCACCCTGCAGATTTCAAGAACAAATATAGAGATTTGAGTTCTTTGATCCCAGGGACTGAATTAAGGAGTGAATGTGGGGAGAATAATGAGCAGAAAGTTTGAAAGTGAGATCCTCTGATAACTTGACACAGAATGTGTCACATAAAATGGTTATCAAAATAAAAAATGGTTCATCTAAATACCAAAGATGAAGAAGTATTCAGTTTACCTGTCACAGTTTGCAAATAAGTTTGCTAGCAAAAAATAAAGAAAAAGCTTATTGAAATATACTGAAGCTACCAATATCGTATTATATAAGCTTAAAACTACTAGCTCAATCACTATTCACTACTCATAAGAGAAGTAAATCCACAAAACCGATACACAAAAAAAAGAAGGAAGGAAGGAAGGAAGATGGAAAAGGAAAGAAAAGAGAAGGCATAGAACTGAAAATTAATAACTGAAGAACTTGACAAAAATTTCTGCCATCATCACAAACTAATAGCTTAGGCCCTGTTAGGTAAAAATGAAGGAAAAAGGTTCCCTTCCTTTTTCTTTAAGCAATATCTACAGCCAACATAAAACTTCATCGAATTTTACATGAATATAAACAATTGACAATTTTGTGCTAACATTTTCATGTAATCAACTTCACTTAGTGAGATAAAGCTTGTCATTGTTGCATATATTATATCCTTGTTTGTAATCATTACTCAACACTTTCGATTCTTTTTTACTGCCTTTTTAAAGCATGGACAAAAAGGTCATTCTTCATTCTCAAAATCAGTTTTAAAGTTTAATTTTTCAATTCATTTTATTCCATTTTGTGTACCAAATGGGCCTTAAGAAAATAGTAACACAGGTCGAGGATGGGAAAAGAAAAGAAAAACATAGGTACCTGTTTACAGATAGGAGGTTGCCTCTTCCCTTTCAGTGTTCTACCTCTCTGGAATGCGCCAACCTGAGAGCGTGGAGGGGAAAGATACAAATAAAATGTTGAAATCTATACATGGTCCCAGTCAGAGAAATTGTTGATTTCTGAAGGTGGATCCCAGTGTAGTTATTGGTAAAAGGATACATACTGTAGGCGATGATATTAGGACATAAGTATTGTTGCCAGAAGCCTCCAATGCTGCCAACTTTGATGACTTCTCTAAGGAAACATTAGCAAATGGACTAATTTTCTCTGAAGATGATTTTGGCGCTGGTGATGCAGGTTCTGATTCAACCATGGGCTTAGTTGGAATAGGTGGTGGTGTAATTGGTGAAACAAAGGGCATAGGAGCTGCCGTTGCTCCAATGTTTCTCTTAAGATTCATTTCGAAGTCTCCAACCTATGAAAATAGTAGTAAAATAAGGGCATTGACACGATTATATATATATATATATATATATCTGCTTCTTTTAATGACCAGAGCATGAAAAAAATGTATAGTTAGATAATACATGGTAATGTAACATCAAATATTATCCAGTACTACAGTATATGCTCAACATTGAAATCATGTTATAAAATGACGAATGATTATATAGATATGACAAATTGAGATAGGAAATAAATCCCTAGAGAAAAATTATAATATTGATCAGTTGCTATCATGTATTTTGAGCAAACCATACTTTTTTTTACTGGACTTGATTTTTAACGAATGCAACATAAAAGAGGTCCATTAACATAGTTATTGAAGTGCAATAAACTACTATAACTTTCACAAAAGCAATGAGCAAGAGAATATAAGCTCACCTTTACTTTCAGCTCAGCAATTTCAGTCTCCTCACAAACCTCTAATACTAAAGCCTGATCACAAGAAAAACAGACATAACACAACTCAGAAAAAGAAAACATGAAATATAGTAATAGATGGCAAGTAACATCACTGTCAGATTGAAGAACTTCAAAAAATTAAGAGACCAAGGTAATATAAATTTGTTGGACAGAAGGATGAAAACAGGAGGAGAATCAAAGTGGACCAAGCATGTTTCAAGGCACCAAAGATAATTAGGAGTTTATTATATTCACATTTAACCATGTCCGTTGATAAATATTGATTCTGCAGTCTTCGACAAAAGTTGGCCATCACAAGAAAAAGTTACATTCTCTTCATTTCTTCTTGATGGCAAACAAAAAGTAGTTTTATTCATGAGCACACCGAGCCGTTTACCCACCAAGTTATATCATTTGTCAATAGTACTTGACAAATATGAATATGAAGTTGCAAGTAAATTGAAAAATTAGGACCTCAAATCCATTAGGAAAGGTAGTTCGCAAGGGCTTCTTCTCCAACAAGTCTTGCGAAGAGCTAGACAAAGCTGCAACATCATAATGAAATTATTAGGCTTTTGAAAATAAGAAAAAGAAACAATACAAAACTGACCAAACGATCACAAGTCCTCCCCCCCCCCCCCCCAAAAAAAAAATTATAACGTTGTCAGACTTGTCTTATGAGCTGGAATTTCAAGTTTGATAAGAATTATAAAAGGTGTTGCCTGTTGGGGGGAATATTATCTTGGATCTAATCTAAAACAAATACAACTTATAGGAGTAAATTCAACTTTTATAGATAAGAACAAAAGTAAGGTTAATATAATAACAAAGAATAAGACTCACATCATTCATTCAATGGACATAAGGAACAAAAATATAAATACACCGTTCTTCACAGAATGAAAATAACTTACCATCAGGCTTGCCTGTGTTGATGGTTTCAGTTATTTTTGTGCATGATACTAGCGTTCGCTTCCACTTGAATTGAGAACTAAGGTGCTTCTCACCATTTGCCAACCATTGGAAGTTAAGTTTATTTTGAGAGCTCCCTACAGCATTATTCATGGGAACTTCATATGGCTTCTCAAGTGAGGATCGCATGGGTAACAAGGTGTTTACGGGATCTGATGTCCAAAAGCAATAATTAAGTCTTTGATTTCAATCATTAGCACAATGATCATATTAAGTTGCATAGTAGCAGGGTACTTTTGCCAAAAACAAAAATTGAATGCATTAGTATACATTCCTACAAAATCAGGCATTCCTATATAAATTGATGTTTTTCCCGTCGACAGTAATTTAAGCGCTTGCTTATAACTAGTGACCAGTCAAACTACACAAATGCGCTGTTAATGCGACATATGTCAACTCAAACCCTAAAAAGCATGTCAATAGCATTAGAAACTGGAATTACAGTGTCTGATAAACACAATAATTACTTAAGGGCAGGAGTAGCACCAATATTTTTCAAATTGCATAGGTGACTCTAGGCAACACAATCTTAGTCTAGTCAATCGTTAGATGATTAGCCAGCTGTGCTTGTGACAAGCAATAATGGAAAAATGAATAAGTAAACTTTTTGGAATAACATTGAAACATAAAACTTATTCTGAAAAATTCCCCTATCAGCAAACCAGAAATGAGTCTAGAATGCGAGCAGCAACAAGAGTAAAATAGAAGCATGGCTGGTTGTCGCCAATGTTATCCTCCAAAATGTCAGCCAATCACCAGCTCAGAGGTAAGGTGGGGGCATCCGTCAATCACTTGAAGCGCCAAGAAGTCCGAGCAATGGCGTGCATCGAGGCCTTGAAAAAACTATGGTTGAATTTCTGGTGAATAGTTGTTTTCACTTAACCTCCCCCACAACCCAAAAAAAAAAAAAAAAACAGAGAGAGAGAGCAAAGAAACCCACCCCCAAACTATTATCCACCAAGCCCCCTCCCTTCCCGAGGTCCTCTTCAGCTTTGATTTTAATAGCGTTTCGAGTCCCCTATATCGAAGCAAGAACCAACCTCTATGAGCACAGATTTCTTTCGATAGAATCTCCCACCAAAGCAGAAGGCCACGGCTGGTTAAGATTGGAAGGCAATCCAACAGCAGCGATCGTGCATTTAGTACAACAGCACAACTGACATATACCCAATCCCAAGCAACAAGGAGCGGCTTGCCGCTTCCTAAATGCAACACCAGCATGTATTAAAACTATAGAACGGCAACAATAAATTTTACAACTACATGGAGCTTTCGGTAATCTTGACATTACGCGATTTCAGTTTCCTTAATACAGATCAAACGAGAAGAGAAACAAAACAAGGTCAAATCACGCTTATAAAAAAGTGCATTTAGCCAAACTCATTCATGCAGGAGCAGTATAGAGAGATGGGAATACAGTGAAAAGATCGGATAGCAGCGGAGGACTCCATGGAAGTGAGAACGAGCCGGAATGCAGATATTGGGAACGGAGGGAACAAATGGTGCGAGTGCTGAAGTAGGAGAAGCTTTGGTTTAAAAGCAGAGAATGGGATTGTTATTATGCTTTTGATATCTCTTCGAGATGTCCGCCTTCCCTTCACTTCAGTTTCTCCGCCCCGAATTGGACTTGGAGGTCCTTCTCGCTAACATGCGCCCAGTCTCCACTCTCCCTCGCATTCCCAACGCCATGTCGTGTCGTCGGTTAAGATTAATGCTCTAACAGTGATTATTTGAATGCTAATCTTAGTGAAATTATAATACAAATACTACTAGTTAAAAATGAAATAATATTCCTACTCCTACGTACGAGAAGCAAATAAGATTAAAGAAGCATTATCTTTCTGAAATGCCACACAATGACACAAATTGATAATTTGTTCAAATATTTTTGAATATCTATAATAATAATCAATCGATTAATATGAATGTCACATTAATTGATATCCTAAAAATCAGCTCTTTTCATGCTGTAATGTTTTGATAAATTAAGATGTAAAGTTTCAAAAAGTTAAAAATGCTTTGATATAGAGTTAAGATAGAAAACTATTATTAATGTTTTCACCCAAGCGCACCTCATGTCTTGAAGAATTTTTCTGCCAATGTCACTCCAGTGTTTTTTAATATGGTACAATTTCATCCTACGGTTAAGTTTGACCTATTTTGATTGTTAAATTAAAAAGTCAAACCATTATCTATTTCTTAGAGTGCCATGTAATAGTCCATGTCACTTTCTCTCCTTGCCCTTCCATTTCCAAATCGTTGTCTCATCCCCTTCTCTAATCTCCAACTTCTCCTCTCTCTGCCCCTTATCTTTTCTCTTTCTATGCTTGATCTTCTGTTCAAATATGCTTCAAATCTTGGACTTTTAGGTTTTGATTAGAGGGAATATGAATTCTATGATGTTATACTATTCAAGATTTGGTTCGATTTGCTTAAAAGAATATAGGTTTGATTGGCTGTCGTTTAACTATGCTTGTTGTGCTAGCATCTCTCTATTTCAAAGCTATCAAGTATGTTGTTTTTTGGTCATGCAACGGCTTGATGATACCTATGGTTAGAGGGAAACACGAGATCTAAATCAGTATAAGGATTGAAAGTTTAAAAGGATTTAATGTGATTCGAAGATGACAACCGTATTTCGATTCAAAGCGATTCCAAAGACCCAAACATGATTAAGCATCACAAGTGACAAATCAAGATGATGAAGTGACGGAGTGGTGTGACAAAGAAAAATTGAGACAGAGGAATCGACGGAGTGATGTGACACCAATGCCAAGCACTAATTGTTTCAAAAAAAATTGGGTTCCAAAATTTTAAATTTTATCTATTTCAAAGTCAATATTTGATTCTTCTATGACCTGATATATAAATATTAGTTTGATTGTTCTGGGTTTGAAAGACAAACAAAAATCTTACTTTGATTTGTTTATTTTGCTATATAATGGGATAAAGATGAGGGATGGAGATTGCTTGATCTGGGTATGTTTATTTTATTTGATTTCATTGAGTTTATTTTTCCTCGTCTCTCATTCTCTCTTGCCATAATTCACTTGCTTTTCCCTGTTGGCATGCTTTTTAATGGAGTTTTTGAATATGCATCTCTAAATTTGTGTCTGGATTCATGTGCATTGTGTCACTTCGTGCTTGATTGTTCTAATTATTGGTACTATTTTATTTGACTTGAATTTTGACATGGTTAGATTTGGTTTTGTGATTTTGTGGTTAGATATGTTGTTGGAAGAGAAGATTACGTGGCTGGGTTTAGATTTTGTAGCTAGATCTACTAGGAAAGAAGATTTTTAATTGGGTTTACAAATTTATTGGGTTTTTGGAATTTTTCTAGAAAAAAAAAATGATTTCGACATTTTAAGTTAAAGAATTTAATATTCCAGACCTAACTTCATTGGGAATGAATGAAGAATTGAATGCATCACATGGATGATGACTTGGTAGTATATGTGAACAAAAGTGATCAAATTCTAAAAAATAACTATTAAAACAATCAACACGAGACGGTGACATTGTACTTAAAAAAATAGGTCAGAAAAAAATTACTTCAAAAAATAATTTAAAATATGAGGTGCGTTTGGAGGGAGACGTTGAGATCATTTTTATACTTTTTAATATAATCAAATGAAATTGAAAAGTGAAAACTGATATCGACATGGGCGCCGCAAACGGACAGGGTTTTTTCTGCAGGGACCAGAACGCACGGACAAGTGTGAGTGGCAGCATTCAGGGTTCACCTTAAATGGGCATGGGCTAATCCAGAAATTGTATGTTAAGTGGGCCACACAGTGCAGACACTTTTAAGAATCGAATGATCCGTCCCCCTTGGGTCCAACAACTTCGGCTCACGCATCTCTTTCCAAACTCCGAATCTCTTGCATTTTCCGCTGCCAAACAAGCTTTTTCTATGGCAATGACAGAAATTAAGAAGGGAAGAGCAAGGCGGGATATATGACAATTAACTGGACCATGCAGAAATTAATTAATGATGTTCCCATTTTTGAGATCTGCTAAGTGCGAATGCCTAATACAAGACCAAGATAGACACGCTTGAAAGCTACGCAACATTGAGAAGGACCGCCTCTCGAAACTGCAGCCTCCTAGTTTCGCTGTGGAAAGTCTTGTGTTTGTTTGGCCAATAGGTTAGCCACAGCCAGCCCCTTATCTCCCACTCCATGGTCTTCCCCGCGGCGGCTCTGTCGACTTTCCACCGCACGCTCTCTCCGTACTGGTCGCCCGCAAATATAATCCCTCCTTGGCGTGTGAAAGGACGGTAGGCACTGGAGTAACGGTCTTTGAACCACGACCTGGGGTTCATCAATTCAACCTTGGAAGGCCTGGACGAGAAGACTTCCTTGCCGTCCACGCTGTCGTGAAGGAACCAATTCAAATTAGCGCTGTAGCCGTACACTGATTGCTCGAATTTCCAAGGCTTCAGACTCACGGTTGTGGATTCGCCGGCTGATACTTTTAAACCCAGGTAGGGATTGGGAGGCTCGAAGGAGGCTTCAATGCTCTTGTCTATGCCGACCTCTCTTCGTGGGTTCTCTGAGGATTTTGCGACTGACACGCTCAGCACCTGGTTTTGCAGTGTGGGTGTCACCTGCAGAAATATTCTTGAAGGGAAATGTTTCTCGCCTGCTCCGGCGCCCCGCTCTCTCATCAGGGTCTCGTTCACCAGTTTCACCACATCGCACCTGCCGCCAAAAGAAATCAAAATTTCTTAATTGCTTTTTATATTTAATTGGCAAACATTTATATTTTATAATTAACGAACACTTTAAACATTTTATCTCGTCTCATATTTAGAAAATCCCATAACAAGATATTGAGAATAGTTTTGTCCCGACTTAGTTCATAAGCTTTCCTGATATTGGAGCATGTGCATGACTAATACTGACTACCTTATGTTGTCGATGTTGACCATGATTTCAACCCACTTCTCTTTGACTATTACTTTGTAATTGAACTGGAAAACGCCTTCGATTTGGTGATATTTGAGAGAGAATTGAAGTCTCTCGTCATCTGCTGGCCTGTTGTTTGAATTATCCACGTCCATGCTTATGATAGGACAGTACAACTGAACTTTCCATAACCCAGACGTCGAAAAAGCGTAAGAAAATAGAGGAGACGGTGTTTTAAACGAGCCGTGATATTGATGTGCTGCTTGCAGTTCCGCAATCCAGTTAGTAATTGCCAAGTTCAAAGATCGCATCCACTGTTCTTCCAGGTTTGACCCTAACAGTTTCATCAGCAACTTGGAAGCTTGTCGCGAGTCACAACCTGTCAAGTGTCGTTTGATAGTGCTTAGACACCCAGAACGGAGATCTGAAGGAGCCTCGTATATGCAAACTAGGAACAAAAGAGTGAGAAATGCGAGATTGAAAATGTCCGGAAATTTGGAGATGGAATCAATCTTGACGAATTTTATAAAGGGGCTATACTTGTTGGAGCCATAGCGAAGGACATCTTCTATGAAATTGACGAGGAGTTTGGATATGGTCTCATCATCTGACAGCTTGATGGCCTTGATAGGTTTTGAAGTCCAGAGGGAAATAGGGATGCTGAAGTCGGCAATGAGACTAGCGAAACACAGTTTCGGGGATTGGGGATTTCTGGACATGGCAAGACTGAGAGATGGTTGGGACGATGAGGTTGAAGAACATATGGACATGGAGAAGTCCGTGGTCCATTCTGAGAGAGGTGGAAGGGCATGAATCCAGCGAAACACATCAGGAAAGCTGCAATAAGCCATGAAGATGAAGCTTCCCAAGACGGAGTTTCACTGATAGGATTTGGGGCAATATTCTGAGCCGGCTTCCATGTTATATAATCATGGCGTCTTTGATCCATTTAATGGATGCCAAGCATAGATTCGGGTGGGGAAAGAAAAGTCAAAAGTTAAACATTTGATTAGGACGACGATTGGCATTTGATACAAGCGAAGGTGGTTCTAGAAAAGAACTGAAAAAAAACCATTCTTTGATACCCACATAAAAGATAAAATTTGCACTACAAGTATATATATTCCATGGCAGGCATATATGCTCGAGTAGACTTTATGGTATTCGACTGTTGGTATATAAAATGCAAAACAAGAAGGGATTGGTAAAAGGAATATATGAAGCAGCGAGAGTTTGGAATATGACCCATAAACTAGAAAAAGAAATCCAAGACGGATAAGATAGGAGGTTGAGTTAGTAGTAATATAGATGAAGAAGCAAGAACACGATGGCGGTGATAATTGAGAATAACTGACTGCTTCAAATGATTACCCTCACAAAACAAGCAAATGCATCTCTTTATATTCACGGCACTCCTCCCACACGCTTTCATACTCCCCAAGCATGGTATGATAAAACAACTGGATAGGCGTTTCTTAATTTCTTTTTGTCACGTTTAACAATAGAAGATATATTCTGGTGTTTTTTAAAAGTGATCAATTAGGTTTTTCTAAAAATGTAGAGTATTTAATAATTGAAATTGATCTTTTTTTTATTTATGATTGAGTTATCCTGTTAAATAATCATAAACATTTAAATAGATAATTAAGAGTCAATTATTTGTAAAATTAATTTTTGGTAAAATTAAGGTAAATTATTCTAACCACCATTCTATTCTGCTCTAATTACAGCAATCTCTCCTCTATTTTGAAAATATATAATTTAGTCCAATATGTTAACTTCATTAGAAATATTCTAAAAAGATTCTAAAAAATTATTTTTAAATTAAAGTTTATATTAAAACTAATTTTAATTACTATTTTGCCCGTCAACCCAATAGATAATAAATCATTTTACTTTGACAACTACATAATTTCATTGTAAAAAACATGTTTACAAATTTTAAATTTAAATCGTTTATATAATCTCTCAAACTTATAGCACTTTTAGTTACATGATTGAAAAAATATGTGTTTAGAATATGTTTTTAGTAATTTTAAAAACATAAATAAATAAGTTTAAATAAATTTAATAAAATTTGGGAGGATCTGGAGGGGTTGATTCGACACATACCACAGAGTGAAAAGATTTTTATTGGAGGAGACTTTAATGGGCATGTCGGGAGGGAAGCTGGTCAGTATGCGAGGGTACATGGTGGTTTTGGTTTTGGAGAGCTAAACAATGAAGGACAAACTCTTCTTGATTTCTCATTGGCGTATGATTTTAAGATTGCCAACACTTGTTTCAAGAAGAGAGATGAGCATCTCATCACTTACAAAAGTGGAGCCTCAAGGTCACAGATTGATTTTCTTTTGGTTAGGAACACAGATAGAAAACTTTGTAAAAATTGTAAGGTGATCCCCGGAGATGCTGTAACGACACAACATAAGGTCCTAGTCCTTGATGTGTGTATTATGAGTAAAATCCAAAAACGTCGACAAGTAGTAACACCAAGGATTAGGTGGTGGCAATTAAAAGGTGAGAAGCAAGATATTTTCAAGCGAAATCTTTTGGATAAAGGAATTTGGGATTCTCAGGGAAGTGCTAACATCATATGGGAGGATATGGCGAAAAAGATACGGGAGGTTGCAAAAGTAGTTTTGGGAGAATCGAAAGGTTCTGGTCCGAGAGACAAGGAGTCTTAGTGGTGGAATAATAGTGTACAGGACAAAATCAAGTATAAGAAGAACTGTTTTAAAGCCATACATGTGTGTAACAATGAGGAAAATTGGGAGAGGTACCGTATGGCTAAGAAGGAAACTAAGAGAGCTGTGGGTGAAGCTCGTTCTAAAGCTTTTGAAGAATTTTATAAGAACCTTGAGACGAAGGAAGGAGAGCAAAACATTTATAAGATTGCCAAGAGTAGGGAAAGAAAATCAAGAGATCTAGAACAGGTAAGGTGTATTAAGGATGAAGAGGAAATAATTTTAGTTACAGATGATGAAATTAAAAATAGATGGGAGACTTACTTTTCTAAACTTTTCAATGATGGAGAGGATTCATCTAGTAACTTGGAGGATTTAGTAATTGGTAAAGGCGAACAAAATTTGTCATTCTATCGAATAATACGTGATAAGGAGGTAAAGGAAGTTCTTAAGAAAATGGCAAATGGTAGAGCCAACGGACCTGATTGTATATCTATCGAAGCGTGGAAATGTTTAGGTGAAGAAGGGGTGAGATGGTTAACTAAGTTATTTAATGTGATTTTACGGTCTAAGAAAATGCCTGATGAGTAGAGGAGAAGTACATTAATTCCTATTTATAAAAATAAAGGAGATATTCAGAATTGTACTAACTATAGAGGGATTAAACTCATGAGCCACACAATGAAATTGTGGGAGAAAGTAATTGAGCACAGGTTGAGATTGGAGACAAGTATTTCTGAGAATCAATTTGGTTTTATGCCAGGTAGATCAACTACAGAGGCGATTTATCTACTAAGGGGATTAATGGAAAAGTATCGTTGTAAAGATAAAGATCTACACATGGTTTTTATTGATTTGGAAAAAGCTTATGACCGTATATCAAGAGAAGTGCTTTGGAAAGCGTTGGAAAAAAAGGGAGTATGGATTGCTTATATTAAAGCCATACAAGATATGTATGAGGGGGTAAAAACTAGTATAAGAACGCCTAGTGGTCAAACAAAGGATTTTCCTATAAAGATTGGACTACATCAGGGATCATCTCTGAGTCCTTATTTGTTCAACTTGATTTTAAATGTTTTGACGGAACATATTCAAGAAGAAATCCCGAAATGTATGCTCTTTGCGGATGATATAGTTCTTATAGCAGAGACAAGAGAAGAGGTTAATTGCAAACTTGAGTTATGGAGGAGGACATTGGAGTCGAAAGGTTTTTGTTTGAGTAGAAGTAAGACGGAATATTTATATTGTAAATTTGGTAAAGGACTATTCAAAAATAATTTGAAAGTGAAATTGGGGGATCAAATTATACCTCAAGTGGAAAAGTTTAGATATTTGGGAGCCATTATTCAAAATGATGGCGAAATCAGTGGAGATATTTCACATAGAATTCAAGCTGGGTGGTTTAATTGGAGAAAAGCTAAAGGGGTTATTTGTGACCGTAAGGTGCCTAATAAACTTAAAGGAAAGTTTTATCGCACTGCTATCAGACCGGCAATGTTATATAGTAGTGAATGCTGGGCTCTAACGGGACAGCAAGAGCATAAAGTTGGAGTAGCAGAGATGAGAATGTTACGATGAATGTGCGGACATACACGTAAAGATAAAATTCGAAATGAGCACATACGCGAAAAAGTGAGGGTGTCACCTATTGAGGAAAAAATGGTAGAAAATTGGTTGAGATGGTTTGGGCATGTACAAAGAAGACCAAGGGAGGCACCAGTGAGAAGAGTGAAACATATAACTTTGAGTCCGATTAAGAGAGGTAGAGGAAGGCCTAAGAGAACACTCTTGGAAGTTGTTGAACGCGATCTCTTAATTAATAATATTCCTAAAAGCTTGATAAATGATAGAGCACAATGGCGTCTTGCAATCCATGTAGCCGACCCCACATAGTGGGATAAAGGCTTGTTGTTGTTGTTGTTGTTGTAAATTTAATAAAAATTAAAATTTATAATATGATAAAAATAAATAATTTTGACAATGTAATCAAACTTTCAAAATGTATTTATTATATTTTTTCAGTTGTATGCAGAAAATATTTTTTGTAAAATATAGATTTTTAGATAATTCTTATATTAAAGAGGGGCATTTTGGTCAAATTAAAAATTTTAAAGTCAAACTTAACTGTCAATTAAGAATTGGATTAATGAAAATAAAATTTTTAAATATACAGGAGAGAATTATAAAATATAAATTTTAATCTTAGGAGAGGTATATATGAGTTTTTAAAATAAACGAGATATTTTTATAATGAAGGCAGAATAGGAAAGCAGTTAGTGTATGTTACTCTAAAATTAATCTATTACTGTACTTTCTACCGGTGTTCTTTAAATAAATATTATATTTGACCACTAATGGATTATGGATGCATTAATAACGGGCAGAGCAGGAAACAGAGCATTAAATACCTTCTTAAAATTTGAGAATGACGATACTTATGTTGAACCATTAAAAACGTGTTATGACATAACAGACTATTACTCCATTGATTTGTTTTCTATCCATGGAAGAAAATTTAATCTTTACCTATTTGTCATTTTTAAATTAAACTCTTATCTTTAATTGGATACAATTCCCAACGAAAGAAAACAAACTCTACAACTAGTAAAGTTAGATAAAATTTTAACATAGTAATAATTGTATTTCTTAAAAACCGTAAGCCACAAATAAAATAAAGTGAAATGAGTAATACTCTATTTTCTTAATTGATCAATGATCATGATTCCTAATCCCATTGATGTATGTCTTAGTCATTTCAGCACTCAGTTAAATTAAAATTGACTTAATATAAAATAGGTTAATCCTAAATCATTCTCTTTAAGGAGCAATTTAGGAATTTTTTTTAAGTTGATTTTAAGTATTTAATTACTAAAAAACTAATTTAAAATGCTAAATTTCTACTCTAGAATGTAAATAAGAAAATGCAATTTATATCACTAAAACAACTTAAATGGATGCCAATGCTAATGTCTAATAACTAAATTCTATTATACAATACATGAGTCCTAAATTATGATTGAAGGTTTTGGTTTAATAAAAATGAAATAAAAGTTGAAGAAATTAATTAAGTGACAAAAATGATTAATTAACTAAAAATTAAGAAAAGTTTAATTAAGAGGACAACTTAAGACATCACATGGAATTAACTTTCCTAACTCAATTCAATTAGTTAGACCAAAGAAAAATGATAAAAGAGTAAAATTAATAAATTTAGTTACTTAATTAAAGCAAAAGGGACCTATAAGTATAAAGTCTAACATTTAATCTACTAGAGAACTCATAGTGAACCAAATGTTATGATTATAAATTAGGTGAATTAAATCCATTAAAATCAATGAAGATTAATATAAAATAAATCTG